CTCTATATTAGTCACACCTCTTTACAATCACGGTTTTTTGTATCCCAAAGGTGTGACTATAGAGGGGTTTGACTGTAGTCTAAATATTATCATTATACAGTATAAATAGAGTACTCTAAACGTTATTATTATTGTCTGGAGCGAAGTGACAGACTTATATTTCTACATTCTTTAATACTAAAAATTCGTTTTTGATATATTTATATTCAAAATATCAAAAACGTAGTTATTGCATTTTCTGGATATAACACCATATATCTTTATTTGAATAGTTGTATAACAAAAATAGATTACGCATTTAGCAGCCAATCGTACTAGCAAGATTATTTCTATTTTTTTTTATTTCGATTTTTATTTCGATCTTTTTTTATTTTGCTTTTTTTTTTTATTTCGATCTATTTTTTTTATTTCAATTTTATTTTGATATCGTTTGATCTTTTTTTTTTAATTTTTTGTTTTTTGTGCAACTGCATAGTCAAGCACCCCTATAATATAAGTACTATCTTTTTTTGGTTTGTATTTTTTTAATATCTTTTTTTTTTATTTTCTAATTGTAATTTTGCTATAGAAAAAAGTCATCATTCTTGGAGTTGCTGTAGTTGGTAAGTTTTTTGTCTTTTTCTATGTTGTTTTTTTTTTTTGATTAACACTTCTAGTTGCAATTTTGCCATCGTTAGAGTTGCCTTAGTCATTCTTTAAACTGTCATAGTTTGCTGTTTCAGTTGCTGTGAGATTGTCTTGTTATTGAAGTGAAGCCTTCGTTTGTGGCTTCATTGTTGATATTGTATTTTTTTTTTTTTGAATTTTTGGATTCTTTTTTTTTTCTTGTATATATTTACTTTTTTTTTTTTCAGGTAATAGTAGGTTGTCATTGTAATTCGTTAGTGGTGTGGTTTTATTATTGTCATGAATTCGTTGGTAGTGCGATTTACTGTTAATACTAAAGTTTATTGTATTCTTTTTTTTTTTGCAATCCTTGTGTTTGTTTTGCGCTTTTTGCTTTTATATTTTTTGCTTTGTGTTTTTTTGCTACTTGACTTTTTGTTTCTTATCTTTTTTGCTTCTTGCATCCTTTGTGTTTTATGCTCTTTGCTTCTTGTGTCTTTTGCTTCTTGTGCTTGTGCTCTTTGCTTCTCGTGTTTTTTGATTTTTGTGTTTGTTTCCTTTCTATATTACTTGCTTTTTGTGTCTTTTGATTCTTATGTTCTTTGATTCTTGTATTCTTTATCCTTTGTACTTTTCTCTTTTCTTTCTCTTGTTCTTTTTTTTTTTTATTTCCTTTGCTTCTTTTTTTTTATTTTTTATTTTTTTCTTATTTTTTTTCTATTTTTTGCTTTTCATCTTTTTCTTTTTTTGTTTTTTTACTTTGTTTTTTCATTTTCTTTCCTAAATTTTTTTCTTTGACTCTTTTCTTTTTTTTACTTATTTCTTTCTTTGTTTTCTTCTTTTATTTCTTTACTTTGTTCTCTTTATCCTTTCTTTTTTTTCTCTTTTTCATCTTTTTTTTTTTTTTTTTTTCATTTTTTTCAATTTTTTTTGTTTTTCCTTTTTCTTTCTCTTTTTGCTTCTGATTTGAATAACACACTTCTTTTTTTAGAGCTATCCTTCTTGAAGTCACTGTCTTTAAAATGTTTCTCATCTTTCAGCATAATTACATCATTGAAGTTGTTATTCTTGAAGCTATTAGATTCGTTATTGGAGTTGTCATTCTTGAAGTTATTAGATTAATTGTTGGAGTCAGATAAGTTCATCATTTGAGTTGTTTGAGTTGTTATTTTTTTTTTGTAATTATTAACTTTCTTCTTTCTAGATTAGTCATTGGAGTCAGGTAAGTTCATTGTTTGAGTTGTTATTTTTTTTGTAATTACTAACTTTCTTCTTTCTAGATTAGTTATTGGAGTCAAGTAAGTTCGTTGTTTGAGTTGTTATTTTTTTTTTGTAATTACTAACTTTCTTCTTTTAGACATAATTTCGTTGTTGGAATCGTTGCTCTTGGAGTTACTAGATTTATCGTTCTTGAGTTATTAGATTAGTCATTAGAGTTGGGTAAGTTCATTGTTTAATTTGTTTGAGTTTTTTTTTTTTTTAATTACTAACATTCTTCTTCTGGACATGATTTTGTTGTTAGAGTCATCTTTCTTGGAGTTACTAGATTTGTTGTTCTTGGAGTTATTAGATTAATCGTTAGAGTCTATACATTTATCATTTTTGAATCATTTGTATATTTTTGTTTTTTGTTTCTCTTTGTCTAGACTGATTTCATTGTTGAAGTCAAGCTATCAGCATTGGCATTTTTGTTATAAGTTGTGCTATTTTGTTGGTGTTTGTTCCTTTGGAACCTTCATGTAAATCAATTTAGTTTTGTATTAGTATTAGTTTCTCTATTATAATACATATTAGTTGTTGTGCATTATATATATATATATTTTTTTTTTTTTGAATTAATAAAAAATAAATTTAGATAAGGGACGTGACAAAAATCAGGTGATTTTTTAGGGGGAGGGGGGTAAAAAATTTAAAATT